GGGCATGGTGGGGATTAGTGTGGGGTCAGGGCATAGCATATGTAATGGCTAAAAATATGTTTACCTGTCGTATTTCCTGTGTTTCGGCATCCATCTTGGAGATGTGAAGATGACGATGACACTGCACTTTACCGTTCACCGAGCCAACGACTTTGACTAAATTCTTTCGATGAAATTGTTGTTGCGGTTTGAGTTGCAACAGCGGGGGCAACGTCGGCGGCTGTCGGATGTCACTGGCTGTCCGACGCCCAGTCTCCGCTGCACTTGCAGTTCACTTTTCTTTTTTCACTGGCCAAGCGGTTTATTGTTGTTGTCGTCGTATTTTCCACACTTTCCTTATTATGTTGGGGGTCTCTTGTTCACTCTCTCTCTCTCTCTTTGACTCTTTGGCTTGGAATTTTCACTTCAGCCGTAGAGTAGCCTAAAAACACGCACACAAACATACATAAATATTTATTAGCACTTTTACAACTATTTTCGAATTTTTGCAAATTAATTGCCCGCACGCATTTGCCAACAATTCGCGAAGCACAGCACAGCAGCAGCAGCAGTAACAACAACAACAACTACGAACAGTAACAAAAAACACAGAAAGAGGAGAAAAACTAGCAAAGGAAAAATGTGAATCATTCACTGGGCGAACTTTGCAGTGGGCGGCAACAGGGGGATGGCTTTGCCGTGGAACTGTGCTTGGCACAATAACAGAATAACAGAAGCAGAGCAGCACAGAGCGGAGCAGCACAGTGCAGCAGCAGTTGCGCAGCGGCAGAGGCGCAGCGACAGAAGCGGCAATGAGTTTTATTGCCTGGCCACAGCATCAGCTGTTGCAATTTGGGGCCACTGTTGACACAGAAACGCACTTTTTGAGTAGCTCGCGTCAGTTTTCGGCTAATTAGTGCACAATTATTGGCGTGGCAGTTGCGCTTTTTTGCAATTTTCCACTTTTCCGCGATTGCAGGCAGTAATAAATGAAAACATTTTTCTTTTGCCTTGCTTGTTGTTGCTGTTGCGCTCGCCGTTGTTTCTCTCTCTTTTGTTCGCTATACACCGTTGAACTGGTAGACACTGTTATGCTCTTCGCTCTCATTGGCGACTAGGCGTATGATGACGACGGTGACTGCGGCAGCGACGCCAACGTTGACGTCAGTTTGCGAGCAGCAACGAAATGATGACCGAAAAATCTGACTATGGGTGCGTGGTACACGCATATTCTCCTTAAATTTCGCATTGCTTTACCGCCTGGATTCATACAAATGCATTTTACACGCTCCGCGCTCGATTCGCATTTAATTTTATACTTTCTATAAACTTCAAATGCACTAAAGATCGAATAACAACTTGCTTCTTCTCTTCCAAAATTTTCTCTGAATGTGAGTGTTGTACAGCGGCTAGAGATTGTGTTTAACAGCACTGAAATTTTCTTGTAGCCAATCGGCCATCCGCCACAGCCTATCAAATCGAAACTGTTATTAAATCGAATCATGTGAATCATAAATATGCGAACACACTCATAAAACAAATTTTTGCATATTTCTTAAGTAACCGCGAAACTTGTCTATATAAAAAGCAATAAAATTGGGCAATCAAAATTTCAATTATATCAAATTTAAAATTAATGGGTTAACAAATTTATCATACATTTTAAAGTAAATAAATTTATTTTAAATATAGTTTTTGTGTAAAAACATTATTTTATTAGCCATATCATGGACAGAAACCCGACTATAATTTCCATCGTTTAATAAACTTCGCGCCTTCTCAAACGCCTTTTCCGAAGACGCACTGGAGGCGGGCGTACCCAAAATCCTGCAACTGACTCGATATAAGAGTGGAAAATTATCCTTATTGGTGTGCCACCAATTCAAAACGTCGTACCCATCGCTTAAGGGCACCTGTAGATCTGAATATCTACGAATTTCCTTCAAGATTCTATCCTCAGATGTGTGCACGGCAACAAAATCTGAGAACAGGTCGTCATCCAACTCCTGCTTGATTCGAACTTCGGTATCTGTACTTTTGTTTTCAAGAGGACTGTATCTTTTCATCAGAATTTTGCACTCCTCTATTGTCTGATCCTTTTCAGCCTGTGTGCATTGCAGCAATTGATTAGTAGGTGGAAAAAGGAACATGGCCATTTTATGGGGTTTGCCAATATGATTTTGTACTAATGATTCCAAAGAATCAGTCAATCTCAGCTTCATTTGTGATTCTATTTTGGTTCTACACGGACTACCGCACAGTTTTCTCAGTCGGTGAATATGTGGGATAACCAGATGCAGCGTTGGCGACATCTCGTCCTCCAAGGTTCTGCAGCATTTCTCAAAGTGGCCGAGAATGTGCACAATCGAAGAAATGTCATTAATATTAATGTTTCCCATCGAGCCAAGGCCAGTTTCACCTCCGCACAAATTGAATATGTCCATCCAATTGGCTTCTATTGACCTCAGCCTGGAGTAAATGCTGTGACATCTGCTTGGAGAGTAGTCAATCATCTGGTTCTCCAAGCTCATGGACGCACCAGACTTTTGCAAATACTTGAGAAGTTCGTTGGCCTGGCCTAACATTTCCTTGAGCCCGTCTACTTCATCGAACGCTCTCTCGATGATGCTGTTGAGCAAATGACTAATACAGTGTATTTGTCCAGCGTTTATGATTGACTCGGCAGATGTTACGCAGATGGGATTGTCTTCCTCCAGATCACAATCAAAGTCGCTCAAAATTCTCTCAATTTGCGTTTTTAACTGAAAACCTGTAAGGATAACAAATCAATGTTAAACATTTCTTAAAATGTGGCATATAAAGTTTACCTGTGCAGGACACCTCATCCAGCCTGAGCAGCCGGCTCACCAGCGAGCTATCCTGGACGTAGTTTATGGTCACGCAGAGATGGGTACTCCCCATATTATCCGGCCAACTGCTGCACGCTATGCTATATCCATTGGCTCGGGCTGCGCACACATCCGAGCGCACTTTCTCCAGGGTATCATGGTAACAGGCGTCAATGTTGGAAGAAAGGGTTGCCACCGGAGGCATGAGCTCATCTACCTTAAGGTGGCTACCGTAGTTGGCACCGATTTCAATAAGCAGCGCGGCCAATTTCCTGAGACCGGAGTCCTCAGAGATGCTCAGGGGACGGCAGTTGACGACGGTCCACTCTGTCAGGGCATGAGCCAGTTTTTCCTTGGTTTCTTCATCGAAATTGGATGAGCTGTTTTGCTCGTCCAAGAAGTCTGTGGTATCTGCGCCATATTCGTGCTCTTCGGTGCTTTCACTTAGTTTGCAGGATCTCAGCTTAACTGTTTTTATTTCCTTAGATGATTCATTTGGATCCAAATCCTCAATAGCGTTTTTGTAGCACTTGTGCCTTACCAAATTTGACGTGCTGCCATTGAATTTAAAGACACTTGGGCACGTTCGGCAGATGACATTCTTAAGCTCAGTTCCATTTTGATCCACAACTCTGGAAAACACATTCCATACTCTGCTCCGACTTCGCTTGCTGACCACCTTAAATTCTCCACTTTGAATTCTGGCTCTTATGGAATCGTTGTCGTATTTCATTTTTCTATCCGATTCCTTCATGCAAAATACAAACAGTAGAAATGTTTGTAAAAGTATGAGATGGATTATGCGGATTCATGAGTCATTACCTTTTATCGAGTGGATTGGTTTGCGGCACGGCAATCAGCACAGTATTATTTTCAGAATTTCTAAATACGTCAAATGATTTATCAAATAAATCATCTGGGTGTATCTGTGGTTAGCCACTTACCGTAACTGAATACTGAATTAAAACAGTTAGTCAGAAACAATTGAGCCCAATTGCAATAGCTGTAATTGTATTTCAATAATAAAGATGTCTATCGGCCAACCGCCATAAGCAATCGGCGCTAAAGCGCCAGACTTTAGGCTCATGTAAACTACACGAAATCACCTAGAAAATATAGAACCGACTTTGAATAAATATAATCTGGTAACGGGTAATATCCAAAATCTGTTCCAAGCTGCTGCTGATATACTTTAATCCGCTGCAAGCTCCTCTCGTAGCCAATAAGATGATGCGCTTATTCATATTTAGAAGCATCAGCTGCTTGTTTGAGGTTTATCGGTTGCCTATCGACTGGCCACCACAAATTCGCGGTGGGAAGATGGTCAATATGAATCGTGTGAATCATACTATATTGAAAGATTTGAGGCCAATTGTTTTAGCATTATCTTGCCTTCAACGATTTTCCCAAGAATCATAAAATTAATCTGTAACCACTTTTTTATCATAGTAATTGTATTACAAATATTGTTTTAGCGAGGCCCCAATGAATCAAAGGAAACTAAATCATAGAAATAATGTTCTCATTGGTACCTTATAATTGAGCTATAGCTGAGCTTGGCTAACTGCGATGATGACATTTTATTTAAGCAGTCTAAGCTCATAGTTCCCTTAAATATAATATATTGCTAACTTATTATATTGTTTATTTATTTGCTATTTAATAAAATCATGTCTATTTACATACACACATCTGTTAAATAGACCTGTTATTGTTTTATAAGCAATGAACAATTAATTCTATTCTATGTCCCTTTTTGAATTCGAATTAACTTTAGTACTCATCAGTTTTTTATTTATAACTGTATACACTTGTTTTAAAATAATGGTTTGTGACGTCACAATGTTTGGTGCACTTCTATGCCAGTGTTGGAAAATTCTGCATAAATTGAACTGTCGTGCTTTGCAACACGGTTTTGTGCGTGACTAAAAATCGTGACATGCGTGTCGCAAAGTACATTTTACGTTTTGGTTTTTACATATTTTCTGTTAATAGCGCTTGAATAGGAGTAGCAACAATGCACGTCGAAAAGAAATCGGAATTGAGAAGTCTTCTGAAATCGGGTGACAAGCGTTGTAAATTGGTGGAACCTCGAAACGCTAAGAGCTGCGTTTGGCGATTCTTTAACCTGGTGTCTTGTGATGATCGAATAGAGCCGTATGCCTGTTGTAAAACCTGTGGCGATCTGTTGTCGTACAGCGGGAAAACAGGAACTGGCAGTCTATTGCGCCATAGATGCTTGCACACGACTAACGGTAAGTTTTGGATCTGATATTCACGCACGCCCCCTCACACTGCCACGCGTGTTCAGAGCGGGTAGCTCTGTTGTTGTCATCGCCACCGCTTGTCCTAGTGCTGTGATATGTGCTCTGCAATTTGCATTTTGGTTAGATAATTGTGTCAATGCAGTCGAATTGGTCAATTCGACACTGGTTACTAAAATTGATTCTTTCATTTTCGAGCACCATGGTGTCTGCTGAGGGTATTCGGGCTGCGAACAATTAGTAGTGTTAGAGGTCGTCGAATAATTGAGACCCAGAAAAGAATGCTGCTTTGTTAATTGGTTATAAAAATGGAAATGTGTCGTTCAGTGTTTTGTAATAACTTATAGGATTTAGTTATGTGCTGTTTAGATTTATTTATTTTCTTTGTTTTGCTTGATTGAAACGTGTCGTTTCGCAACACTGTTTCTCGGCCGCATTTTCCAACACCGGCGCCAACAACGCTAACATCGCTATTGCGTTTTTGTGGGAAAAAATTAGAATTGAGAAAGTTATTTTGTAAAAAAAACGTTCCAAAATGCCTAAAGGTCGCGTTAGCAGTGTTTGGCAGCATTACGATATCAACGAGGAGTGCGAAAACTTTGCAGTTTGTCGCTATTGCGGCAATAATATATCGCGTGGTGGCATGGCCAGCAACCTGAAGGGAAACAACACCACCAATCTGTGGACACACTTGAGGCACAAGCACGCCGATGAGGTGCTGGTCAATCCCATACAACAACGCCCCATTAGCCGACCTGCAGTTATAACTTTAAAGAAAGGTATGCCAAATGCAGTGCTTATCACAACATTTATTGACCTATTGACGCACCTATCGATCCCGCGCGACTGTCCCCAATTGGAAACTATCGCAAAACGATGACGCCCAGCCCTGCTTTACAGCTGGGAGCCGGCAATTTATTGACATATGATTTATATATATCGTAATGCGCATCTGTAATTGTGTTTACACTTCATCCTTCCAGAAAAAACTTCGCGCATCGCCAAGGCTAAAGTTGTGCGGGAGCCGCTTCGGGTTGCGAAACCAAAAGTCGATGTGCATGCATCCATAGCTGGTGCGCTGCCCCAGAAGTGGGAGGAGTACGAGCAAAACGACGAGGTCAGCGAGGACATCAAGGACATTATATACAGTGAGGATCCGCTCTGCTACAGTCCCATACAAGTGGTCGAGGATGAGATGCTAGATGCTGGCGAAAAAGTCACCGTGGTGAGCAGCAGCAGGGCAACTACCAATCCGGTTGTTGCTACCGTGGTCTCAGCTCCCACAAGCGCTGCAAAAACATTGAAAAACAACTTGGAAACATCCATTGAACGGCTGACCACGGTCAGCGAGCAGCTAAGCTACGTCATTCAGCAGCAACAGGAGGAGCAGCAGCTCAAGGATGATGACTATTATTTTGCGTTAAGCCTGGTACCCATTATGCGACAGCTGTCGGTGAGCCGTAAGCTTTTTGTCCGCTCGAAAATCCATGAAATTTTGTACAAAGAGAGTGAGGAGACTAGGACTAAAACTGAATAATAGAACAAGCTAAAAACTACGGATATACATAAATCATTTTAAACTTACCCAAGCTGAAGAAGAAGAAGAATCAATACAAAAAGAGAAAAAAAAAAAAACAAACACAAAAATGTAACATTTATCTTATCAACAACTATTCATATAGGCTAAAATGTTTATATGTACGTTTGTTAACGTACCGTTTGCAATTCTTAGTTGGAACATATAATTAATAAGCACATATGTTGAGACGAATTCGTATTGATAATTTAGCATGTATGTATGTATTCAAATATTTAATGCAAAACTCTTACAAAACGCTAATAAATTTACCTAAGACCTCCAAAGTAGATTCCTACTCATAACTTTTATGGTATAAATTTACTTAAGCTCTAATAACTTGCATATTTGTTTTTAGTGTGCAACATTTCGAAATAAGAATAGATTGACAGTTGCATGTTGTGCCAGTAGGTTTTAGTTTAGGTACTACACTTAGCATATTCGATGTATTCCTTGTTTAAATATGTAAATTTGGATACGGATACCTTAGAGGTATTTAGTCAGCAGCTGCAATATGTTATGATATGAGTAAGAGTACTCTAGTACAAAATCAGAAATATATCGTTTCTAGCTGTTATAGTCTTGGATATCATAGAAGTGACATGGGAACAGAGCTGTATCGATTCTTCTTTTTATCAGTGTCTATTTATAAAACTGTTTGTCCTTGACTGACTGATTTCATAGATCTTTTAGAAAATTGTCTGTATTTTTGGAATATCTATCTTTGATGGAAACGATCGGTCGAAAATTAAGATCTGTGTTCAAAAACTGTTCAATTTAGCTCGACATTTATTCGGTTCACTTTTCTTCTCACATACATGCAAAATCCTACCTACATCGGAAAACTATATCATAAATGTTCCTTTCCATCGAAATATAAGATCTGTGTTGAAAACGTTTTTATAAAGAAATCTTGACGTAATCCGACATATACCAATCTTATCGAGACCGCAATAGAATATTATATATCTCTATAAAGTAGAAAACCAATATTTATTAACCGGTAGAAACCAATATTTATAACTGTACGAAATCTTCGGCGTGTTTAATTACCGGCTTCACAATTCTGCAAAACCGTAAGCATATGTCTACAAAGATATTTAATATATGTACTTTTGTATCACAATTCTATAGATCTATGCAATTATCAGATTAGATGATGCTCTAACTGATTCAGGCATTCATTCCGGGAAATGAGTACAAGTCCGGACGGAGCCGGGACAGGGAAGTATATTGAATGAAATAAGTTTTGGTTTCGTTAGTTTATTTATGTTTTAAATAAATTTTATTTAAATAACTTGTTGAGATTTACAAAACAGAGAGCATTACTAGAAGTATAATTTACAAATCGATTTCTGGAGCTAATTTGTGTGGCTTACGCAATGCTTACAACTAGAAATATGATTTGTATCAATAATGCATTATTATTATTATTTTTTTTTAAATTTATTTTTCTTGCTTCTATTTAGCTGTCAATAGATTTACGTGTCTCTAGAAATACGCATATATGATACAATATCAATACAATAAACCCTACAGATCGAGTAATAAACAATAATCTTATTAAGTATATGCACCCCCAATATCATCTATATTTTATTATATGTATTTGTTTATTAATCTTAATCTCTAGTCAACAAATGTTCGGTAGTTGATTAATCTTCGATTTTGAGTAGCGGATGTGTTAATTCTTATGAAGGGACTCTAGACTTACTAGCTGTGTGTTCTGATGGGATCGATTAAGTGCATCATATGCCAAAACTTTGATAAGTATTCGTTAGTTAATTTATTTTTATTTTTCGGGTATAATTAGCTATTCGTTAGCAGCCCAACCATATTTGATTTATTTATAATTTATTACATTGTAGGTATATATCATTTTGATTATGGTTCGTCTACTGTGCCAGTTCGACATAGTTTCTAAGTGAGTTTATCGAAAATTGTTCGGAAAATGATATGAGAGATATGAGCTGGAAATATAATTTGATTAATCGATCTTCAAAACAAATATTGTATATATATATATATTAATTTGTATATCTTGTTTTTGGTATTTAATTTTCGTATACAAGCATTTAGATATATCCAAAATTGATTTAACTTTATTTTCGCATGACTTTCAGATCATCAACGTATTTATCATAGGTGTGTATGTAAATTGGTATATTTTTTTCTATTCACAGTTCCGATAACTACATCCAATAAATATTTGATATATATATATATGTACATATATCGATTAATCAAGCAAATCTTAAGTGTGCAACTAACCGAACCGGCCAGGACTTTGACAAGAACTTATCCGTACAGAACTGGTCGGTTCCGTTTATTGACACCGGACTATCTTAGATCTTAGATTATAGAGCGGGCCGCAGTCCACGTATGATATGAGTTGCTGTTTTATTCATATGTATTCAGTTATTTGATATGGACCTAAAACATTTTGTATTTTTTTTTTTCGTAATTTACAAGGACATTTATAAAAAGTAATCAATCAAAAATAAACAACTTGTTTTCATTTTTGCATATTTATACAATAAATATTTTAGTGTATTTTGAAATATTGTTGAATTTGGAAACATTTTCATCGCTTATTGCACTGTCGAGCGTCTTTCTGTTCATTTCTTTTTGGAGCGAATCTCGGAGCCTGGGAAAATAGCTTGCCTTAATAATAATATTATTTGGTTGATGTCACCAGCTGACTGGTGCTATAGCCCTGTGTGTTGCAGGTGGGCAGGGCGAATGGGTTGAAACTCAAGCTGCTGACTCCTGCAAGTAAAAAGAAAAACGATATATTTTTAAAAATTAATTTAATTTGCATTAAAATCTCTTTTTCTCACGCTTCACAGCGTCATAAAACTAAAGGATTTCGCATGACAACTAACTTAAAATTAATTTTAAAATCAACTTAAAGCATCTGATATATTTCCATTATATTATTTTATTTATTTATATAAGATATTGTTTTAAAAAATTTGTCTAGTCGCCCTAACAAAAGTTTTCTTTGCTATCCGAAAATATCTTAAGAAAATAACATAAGCTAATAATTCAAATCAAATTGCCCGCCTAATGGAATGCTAAGCTAATCGAACATTTACTTGATTATCTATGTTCCGAATTTCGAACTCGATGCGATATCGCAATTTTTGTTGTAGCATACTTTAAAGGGTTATCCGAATTGAAATGTCGGCTTAACAGTAATATTAACCAGGGCTGCCAGCCCCAAAATACTCGTTGGCGGTTCAGAGTATTTGGTTTGTGAAGCTGGTCTTCTACATCCTTGAGCACATTTGGTTGGTTCAAAACTTGGCTATTTTATACTTAAAATTGTAATGAATAAAATGTAACTTTGAGTTACAGATGCAAAAAAATAATTAGATAATATTCGTAATATTCGAAATACTCGAAAGGAAATTGTGCAACGCAAAATTATAAATACCGTTAATATTCGAAATATTCGAAAAGAAGCTGTGCAACGCATATGAGAAAAATGTTGAAAAAATTATAAATACCGTTAAACAAGTGTTGGTTGTGTGTTGATGTTGTTATTGTTGATGTTGTTGCTGTTGTGGCAGTTGTTGTTGTTGTGGTGGATGTGTTTTATGAGAGACACAACGGCGGAATCCCAATCACCAGCTACACCCACTCATCAGAGTCGTCGCCGTCGCCGTCGCTGGAGTTGGATGCAGCGTTATCAGCGGAGGTGCCCATTGTCAACGCGAGGCGCCAGTCCATGATTGTTTTTGGGGGCGTCTCTGCTTGGCTGCCGATAAGGTTGTGCTCGAATGCGTGTGTGTGTGTGTGTGTGTGTGTGTGTGTGCGTGTGTGAGGGCTTCCAAGCTCGGTGCTGTTGTTGCCGTTGCCGTTGCTCTGCTTCGTCCTCGTTGCCTGCGCTTAAACGGCCGCCGCGGTCGCTGCTGAGACGGCGGGATTGTGCCAGGGCTGGTGCGGATGGGGATAATGATGCGGGTGGGCGGCGGCGACATGGTGATGCTGCACGAGGGCCGAATGCCAAGGCGTCGACACGGACACTGTTGGGGATTAATGTCGAAAAGGCACTTGCTGAGCAATTTTTCTTTCACTTTGTGGTGGGAAGTCGGTTTTCGAGTAGGTGTTTGTACGGGTATGGTAAAACAGAGCTTAAATAAAACTAAACTAAGCGCGAAAAAAAATATTGGAAATAACCATCATCAATCTAACAATTTTCTTATAGAGTTATATATGTATAGAAGACAACAAATGAGTTTGGAACTGATAACGGAATTTGAATGGGACCCTAACATATTTCGTAAAAGTATCTTCTGCCATGTAGATTATAATACCTAGGATTAGGATTCTAATATTCCCTCCAATTATCAAGAAATTTTTTAATTTTTATTGTTTGTCTAAAAATACTGGGCAATAATGACAAATATAAAAGTGAACTGCTGGTTTGGTACTTTTCGTTGCTTGACGCTTAAAATTCCCAACCAGTTAAAGCTTCGATTAACTTAAGCAAGACAGGAACGGCAAGTTCTGCTGCCAATCAGCGTAGCCTAGAAATCATCTCATCTCCTTCTCATCTTATGAAGTGTACAAAAAATGGTAAAAGATTCGCATCACGAAAACTGAACAAGCTGGGAGTCCGATTCTTATGCTATTTTAAATATGCAGGGCAGGGCTTACTGCTGGCAGGACTCAAGTCTGGGTTGGAGCACTTACTTGACGTGGAGTTAAACACGCTGCCTGGCGACGATGACAGCGTACCCATATTCGGTGCGGGCGCATATCCATTCGCAGTCGCTGCGACGGCGGCGGTGGCTGCCGTGGCGCCATAGGAGCCACCCGAGCTGTGGGGCGTGGAGGCGCTGCTGCAGTAGCCGCCGCGGGGACTGACGCTGCTCGACTGGGCGCGCTGGTAGTCGTCCTCGGTCCACTGGCCGGTGCCATCCTGGACGCTGACCGCCAGCTGACCTGCGTACGAGTTGAAGCTCGTGGAACCGCCGGGCGATCTGCTGCAGCAAGAGAAGCGTTAGAGACATCTGCCAAAGATCGGTTGGGGCTGTCGCTTACCTGGGCATGGAGTAGAGCGCCTCGACAAGATCTGCTGCGCGCTTGAGGATGATTTCCTTTTGTAGCTTCTCCGGATCGCCGGGATGCCTGGGTATGAGTTTCTGCAGCCGCTGGAAGCCATAGTCGATTGTAGGTTCGTTGAGTGCTGCTTGAACGACATAATCAAACGGGCGGAAAGCTTAGACATGCTAACAGGCAGGCATGGAGAACAAGATCTACTTACAGACATAGACAAAGCGTC